GTCAATATAATTAAAATGTGGCATGAGTATGAATAATTTGGGGCTTAACCACATGTTGCAGTCTTATTAGAGTATTCAGACATTTCAGTGGCTCACTGAAGCCGTGTTGAGGTACACTGCAAACATGATGATGAGTAGGAATAACACATACCATGTTCATCATATTAGTTTAGCAAGTTAGCATGCTAATATTTGCTAAGTAGCACAAACACAAAGCCTGATGTAATTAGTTTTTAGGTGGGTGGACATAAAACAAATTGTTGGACATAATTACACTTTAAATTTGATGTTGTGCAGGAAAAAAAATACCAAAGTTGGCAATTAATTAACTGCAATTAATTCTGTCTGGACCACAAATGTGTGTAGTGAACCTTATGGATAGCCATCAAAATAGTCTTTTAGATCATTTCCTCTGGGCCGAGGTGGTTTACCCACCTACCAATACTGCCAAATCCATGGCTATGCCACAAACATGGCTAATGAGAAGCCCTAACCTGTAAGCTGTAATTATAAAAGAGTTGGATAATAAAGTTATTCACTTCCTGAGGTATGAATCAAATCATTTTTATTAAAAACCTGTGTAGGACTAATACAGCAGGTACACAATCTGCCAAATGTGGACTGAGCTTGTGGACTCATTACTGCATGTAAGTCCTTGTTTGTGCTCAACAATGAACATTTTGAACATGAAGTCATACAGTGAAAAGTTAAGAAAAAAAGGGGGGTTTCAATGATTCAAAAAAAAAATCTATGTGCAAAAATAAAAACCAAATGAGCTACATGCAGCTTTTTTTTCAATGAAAAAAACTTTTCCAAAGAAAACACAAGTCCACAGACAGTTTGTTGAATTCCCTTGAAATGAACACCTGCTCCCAATTACTCTTAAAACCGCAACATGCACTAATCATCATTTTTATAATCACTTTATCACCAAAGTATTAACAATATCCGCAGCTCTGAGTATGTCAATAAACCATTAGATAAATGATATTAACCCAGAGACATCACACCACTTGCAAACCTTTTGTAATCGTAACATTAAGTGTAGAAATTTGCTTCCCTCGCCTTCATTTGCACCATTTGTCATCAGTCATGGACCAAAGACAGACGCTTTCATGTCAGCACATTTCAGTTGCTCCACCTGCCAGTGTTTCCATGACAACATTGGCAGTGGTAGCAATTTTTCCAACACTGACCAGGAATTTCATTACAAAGATGAATAACCAGATGCTCGGTCCAAAACACTAACTTGAACTGACGGCGTCATATTTTCAGATGAGCAAGAAAGCAAACATTTTTTTTTCACCTTTGTGTTGGCCAAGACAGCTGCTCTGAGATTCCACTCTGATGGTGCTCTATGTTTTATAAAGGCTCCATGTGCACAGTGAATATATCAACTATTTAACAGCAAAGAGCAAGATTTTCT